ACCTATGTCAGGTACAGACATGTAGTAACATCAAGATCATGAATTTGCCTCTGAGAAACGAGGAGGTGGCTAGAAACGTTTGAGTCGGGGCCATCTGTGGGTTGGGACCTTGGACATGGGGTCTTCTGGGGGAATCTATTCAGTTTGCTCCTGGACTTGAAGCGGACGGAGCAAACTGTTGGATCCTGGGGCCTTAAAGACCCGGAACAAGTCCAAAGTTGTCTTTCATCTCCAACACGACCCTGAGGCTACAACCTGGGCTAGTCCAGACACCGCAAGGCTGGAAGGGTGGGGTCCGTAGCCCTACCCCCAGCTGTTTGTGACTCACCCGTCCCTTCCCTCCCCTGGTTTCCCGACTACCTCTACCAACCTAGGGTGAGACCGGAAGAAATCGACTTGGAGGGAGGGAAGGAATCCTACAACATCCTGGGTTCAGAAAGGCAGTACCCCCAAGTCTCGGTGCCTCTCATTCCCTAGATCCAACTTGAAACATCGAATACTAATATTGCAGTTATGATCAAAGAGCTAAGGTTTCCACCACCGGCACTGACATTTAAAGTTTCCTTTTCACCTCATTGCTCCCTTCCAAGTTCACCATTAGTGGAGAACTAGAGGTGTCTCTAGGACATCCAGGATGTCCCAGCTAGAAACTTCACAGATGAAGCACGCACGTACTCCCAGTTTCAGCGTCAGGCCTGATGAGCTGGCCTTAACCATATCAGGGATGGTGCCCCCTGTTGCACAGGGTTGACGGTCCATTCTCTCCTCCCCATCCCTGGTGCTAGCCAAGGGGAATTTTTGTTGTTGCTGAAGCATCAGAATTCATTAAATCACCACAAACATCAGGGATGAATGTTAGCCTGGAGGGGGGGGGCACGTTATGTTCCTGTGCGGAGGGTGTCGTAGCTACTAGTACAGGAGGAAGTTACGATGTTGGCATAGCTGGGGGATGAGGGCTTGTATTTTCTGAAGGTGGAGAGATGGCCAATAATATTTGCTTTTCTTCCTCGATAATTAGATTTGTCGTATTTAAAAAGAAGGATTCCCACCCAGTCTTCTCAGAAACTTCCCCGCGACAGGTGTGGGAAGGATGGGAGGCCACAGAAGAACCCTTCTTCACCCGTGTGGCACCGTGGCTTTCATAAGGGACCTTTCTTCCGAGTTCCCAGGAGTTGAGCTTCCCCAGCTCTCGGAGTAACCAAGCGGGATGGGGGGGGGGTCAGGTCTGGGGGAGACGCCGCTTACCCGGGTCTTGCTCAGCCCTACGGCAGCTCCCGCGATCCAGCGCAAACCCTGTCAGCAGCCGGTTCCAGCTGTCAACGCTTCCTCCTCCGGACGCCGCAGCCCTCACCCAGCCGGCAGGGCGGCCCCTTCCGAGGCCCTTCTGCCCCGGTGCGAAAGTGTGCGAGTGGGGCGGGGCTCGCGGGGCTCTACCTCGCCCCGGGACAGCTCACCGTCGGAGCTAGGGCGAAGGAGCCCCGAGCTGGGCTGGAGGGGACGGGCTAGGCAGACGCGGCTGCCGCGGGGCCGCCCAGCTCCTGACGACATACTGCCCGCCCCCCACCCAGCCTGCCCTCCCGCCGCTCCCTAGACCCCCGCTGTTGCTAGCTTCTCAACACGACCTTCTTCTGGGCTCCAGAGTATCTCAGGGCTCTCCGGTCTGTGCCACTTTCTTCACTCCTACGCTTCTGTCTTCCCACGCGTGGGGCAGCACTACTTCGAATTTTCTCTTTTTTCTAGTTACTCACAGTCTCTCCCATTATCCCTCCCCTGGGCGGCCAAGGGTAAGGGTCAGGGTGCTGACTGGAGCTACCCAGCCACTGGTCAACAACTGGTCCGCCCTCCAGTCTCCACAACGTCATCCGGGACGCACCTGCCCACTCAATGACTCCTCATTCAGGAGAACCCTGAGGGGAAAGGCCAGAGCTACACACTTCACAACTTAAGGCCTAGGTACATCTGCCTCTCCACATGGCTCCACATTGCTTGACCCTGTCTAAGACAATTACCCATTTCTCCTCCGGGTTCCTCAGCACCTTTCCAGACTTGTCTATGCACACCTCTTTCTATCAAAATCCATATCCTTCCCTTAAGACCAGGGTGGGGGTTTGGACACCTAGAACACGATTGATTGTCTGTGTTCACCTTTTCTTCATACCCAAGCCTGGCACATTACCCTCTGGCCTTGGCAGATGGCACAGAAGACTCTGGGCTAAGGCAGCACTTGCAGTTCCTACCTGTACTCTGGAGTTGTCAGGATTCTTGGGGCAGCTTGGATGGTGTGTGACTGGGAGAGTAAAGGAGAAGAGACTAAGGCCTAGGGATTTACTGGTAGCAACTGGGGACCCAGGCATCCTGACTAACTCCCTCCTACCCTTCTCTGAAGTCAACAGCCTTGGGTTCTTGGAACTGCCTCCTCATATCTGGGAGTAGAAATTTGTGGGAGGAGACTCTGCTAGTTGAAAATGTGTGTATCTGTCTGAGTGTGTTGTGTACACACCCACACCTCATATATATAAATATTTGGGCCCTGTGAGGGTCAGAGGGAAAAAAGAAAGAATACATTAGGCCCTCTAGTGGAAACAGAGAACTAAGCAGTTCTCAAATATTTGGAGAAAAGCTTGTTGAAGCAACTTCTCTCTAGAGTGATGGGGTTTGATATTGTTGTTACTATTTTTAATTTTAACTCTAGCTCAAGAGCTGATCTGTCTCTGTTCCAGGTCTTCAGATCAGGTGTTGGAGAATGATACCGTCTCTGTTCCGGATCTTTTTTTTTTGTTTTGCTTTGTTTTGCACCCAAATTCTCCATTGTTTGCTTTTCCTTTTCTCCGTCCTTCTCCTCCACCGTTATCGTCACCATCATGCCGCTAGATGAACTTCAGTGCCTGAAGCATGCTTTCCCCGTGCTCTACCAATGATTTATACCCCCGTGCCAATCCTTCCATTTTAACAGTATATTCTTCATTGTTTGGTTTTGTTTTTTTCTGAGACAGGGTTTCACTGTGTAGCCCTGGCTGTCCTGGAACTCACTCTGTAGACCAGGCTGACCTTGAACTCACAGAGACCCCCCTGCCTCTGTCTCCCAGCTGTGCCACCACCGCCCCTATTCTCCACTGTTGGTAAATCTTTACCTTCCTTGCAATACAGCCCCCTCCCTCACAGTCAACAAACTTTTATTTTTTTCTCTGAGACAAGATTTCAGTATGTATGTAGCCTAGGCTTGCCTTGAATTTGCCAGCCTGTGTCAGCCTCTCAAGTTTACTGGGGATTACTGAGGTATGCCACCCCTCTTGGCTTCAACAAACACTTTCATTCTTAGTTCCATAGGATAAGCAAAAATGTAGACTGATAGACGAATAGACATACGTGAAACTCTCCAACTCTTAGTCGCTCTCAACAAAGTCTGCTTAAAAGGTACAATGTCCCAAACTACTCTCCCAGTCAGTCCTTACATAAAATGAAAAATATGACTCCTCTAATGCAGAGTAAGAGGAAATCAGTCTTATTCCAGCCATGTTTGTACCTTTAGGGTCTGTGCTTCATCATAGCCCAAGTCAGCTCTTGCTGGAGGTGGGAGAGAGAGCACAGAACAGTGCCGTGGAGATGTTTAATGCCTACAGTTCCAGGTGCTCAGGTCTTTAATCAACCACATCATAAGAGTCAGAAAGAAAGAGACCACAAAGAACAAAGGGAAAGGAAAAAACAAGCCTGTTTTCCCAGCCTCTTCTTCCTTCTCTAGGTGGGGGTACACATCCGGGGCCCAGGGCTGGGTCCAAGGCTGGTCTGCTAAACAGACAATTGAGTTTCACTTCCTGCCAACCTTCAGAGATGGGGGCAGGATGTCTGAGAGGTACAGTGATGGGGAGTGTCCAGGGTTAGAGAGTAAACAGGTCACATTCGGGTTTCCCCTCATTGAGCAGGTCCATTAACACTTGTAGAAACCACTTTTGAAATAGTTCAGTCAAGAGTCATGCACCCCACTAAGTTTTAGAGGCACCATTCCGTATTGGCATGCCCTTTCTCCCCTAGATGGGCAGGGCTCAAGTACAATTGGTGAAGAAGAAGAGGTGTGGGCTGGTAGCTGGAGCATTGTTCCTCGCCAGAGCGGTTGTCCAGCGCATGCTAGCTAGACTCCAGGTTGCATTACCCAGCACCCCTGTGCACACCACACACACACACAAAATGAGGGAGTAGAGGTATTGCCAGGCGGTGGTGGCGCCAACTTTTAATCCCGGCACTCAGGAGGCAAAGGGTCTCTGTGAGTTTAAGGCCAGCCTGGTCTACACAGTGAGTTCCAGGGAATCCTGTCTTAACATTCCCCCGCAGGAAAAAAAAAAAAAAGAATATTTGAAATAACGTGGAGAACATGCAAAGAGTTTAAAAGTGACTTTGAGACTTGTGTTGGACCCCAGAGAGAGAAATCAGAGCTCGGAGAATTGTAAAGAAGACAATGTTAGGCTTGCAAAACCTTCTAAGGCTGAATTTAATGAAGGTCCTTGTCAACCTGTTTTTTTTTTCTTTTTCTTTTTTTTAATTGAGATCGGATTTCTAATTGTAGCCCTGGTTGTCTTGAAACTCGCTCTGTAGACCAGGCTGGCCTCAAATTCAGAGTTCCGCCTGTCTCTAACTCCGGAGTGCTGGCATTAAAGGCGTCCGGCTCCCTTTCTTTTTCTTTTCTTTTCTTTTTTTTTCTATTTTCCCCTTCTCAATTCGAGAGGCCCTGTTGTCCATTAACCGAAGACAGAGGAGGACAATAGAGAAAGGTGAAAGAGTTAAGGAAAAAGCTAAGTTGTGGAAGGAGGTTAGAATAGGACACCTGAGGAGAGGAGCTTTACACCTTCCGGGCTGCAGGGCAAACAAGTTTAACAGGATTTAGACCCGAAGGAACTAAGTTGTTGTAGGCGGGAGTGGGGAGTGGGGGGGGGGGCACGGGGGACATGGACCTGACACTTGGGGTTCGTTTGAAGAATGAGGAACCGACGGGGCGCAGCCTAACAAAGGGAGTGGCTCCACGTGTTCCTAGAGTTGGAAGAGTGGCCCCGCTCGCGGTCGCTAAAGCTGATCCGGACACTTGGGCGCGGCTAATTAGAATACTGACTGGGTCCGCCCAAAGGCCTTCACCCTGTGGCCTCTGACCCGGGAGGATCTGCTGCTGGGCAGCTGAATCTTCGCCGCTGAACTGACGGGGGCTGCCCGCCCCACTCCGTCATGGAGACCGCCGGCACCCCTGAGGCTCCGGGGACAGGTGACCGACCCGCAGTGCCCCCCCTCTTTGCGCGCCCCTTTCCCAGGTCTCTGTCCAGAGTTCAGTCGGGCTCCCGAGAGAAGTCCGCGTGCCGGGTCGCCCTGCCCGCCTCTTTAAGTGTTGCCTGGGGTCACATTCGTGCATCCCTTGCAACCCTCGGGACTTCTCTGCCCCACATCAACAGTCGCCCTAGTGTTTGGTGCAGGCCAGGGGCCTCGTGCATTCCTTTCCTCGTTTACCGGCCTTTCTATTGGGCGCCGGGGGCCTTGGGCCCTGCGAGCACCGGTCTGGTAGGAGTAGAGGGTTTATGTCGGAACTTCTCTTGGAGCTCAGAGGACTGTCTTATATGCTTCAGGTGTTAAGGAATGGTATCCGTGATCGTAAAAGAGTCCAAGACTTTATAAACTGCTACGAGCTGCTTCTACCCTGCCTTTTCCTCCACCCGGGTCAATGAAATGGTGCACTTTCTCTTTAAGATTAAAATGGTGGCTTGCTATGGATGAGGACTCCACTTCCGGTGGGGAGGGGGCGGGACCCCAGCCCGCTCACGCCGGAAGTGGTTCGGGTTCTCAAGATGGCGACTCCCTATGTAACTGACGAGACCGGCGGTGAGTGCGGGAATCGCGGAGCCGCTTCTCTCGGGACTCTTGGGTTAGGGGTTCAGACTTGGAGAGGGGTTTGTGCCACGCCCATCCCGGGGCCCCTCCTTTGCCCCGCCCCCGGACCGCCTTCCCCATTCATCCCTGTGGGTTATCACCTGCGCCCCCTTCTGGTCTCGTGTTTTTTTGGGGGGTCTCTGTTTCCGGTCTCCCAAACCCTGAGGGTCCTTCAGTGTCCCCTGCACCGGGACCCCTAGGAGCCTCAACTGTTTCTAGCTGTTGGAGTCCCATCCCTTTCCAGGGTTCTCCAGCCGCCCGGGCTCCCACACTGTCGGTTCCCTCCAATTCCTACCCTCTTCCCCCTCCCCCGTTTCTTACTGTTAGACCCGCTCTCCACCCTCCCTGTTTCCATTCTGTTTCTCCAAGCTGTGTCTCAGCTAGCTGAAGCTCTCCTTGCTACATAGCGCTTTCCTCACTCTGCCTCATCTTCATTTGTTGGGGGTCACTGAAGTCCAGAGGTGCGAAGGGAAGAGGAATTTAACTTTCAACCTGGCTTTCCTCATTGGTGGAGTTTTCCATCTAAAGTGAGAGAAAACAAAAAGGAAAGTATCTCCTGGCCTTTCTCTCAACATCTTTGACAGTTAATAGAACCCCGTTATTTCTTATAGCTTGAGTAGAATTTCAGCCCAGCGATCTGAAATGTTGAAGTCTGTGTTTGTGTGTGAAACTGAGAATTAGAATTAGTTTTCCTCTTATTTTTTGTCTTATTCTAACTGCTTTGTCCTTAGAACAATGCACAATAGCAGTGTTGACCCGGAGATGATCAGATAGATGTATGAGAGACTTGTGTAAAACGCAATGCACGCGCCTGGTTAGTATTTTTGTGTCCCTCACTGTAGTCCTCATGTGTAGTCAGTGACTCTAGTGTTTCATAGAAGTGATCCTTTGAGTGTGCAGTGTATGCATGGCGTGTTTAAACTGTGTCATGTATGCCTCTTGGTTTGCTTTATATGTTTCTTATAGGTAGGCTTCCTACATGATGGTACTTATTGACAAGTTGGTTTCCTGCTCCCGTTCCCTATTCTTGCATTTCAAAGAGTTATGGCAGCATTTTTCTATGTTCTCTACTCAGTAGGTCTTTAACTAGCAACTAGGTTTGTTTGTTTAAGACAGAATCTCACTCTGTATCCCTGATGGTCTTAGAACTCCCTATGCAGACCAAACTTATCTTGAATGCAGAGAGATCCACCTGCCTCAGCCTCTCAGGTGCTGGGATCAGAGGCATGTACTATCATGCCCACCCAACCTTTAAATAAAAATCACCCCCCCACACACACACACATGGTCTTACTATGTGGCCCTGGCTGGCCCTTGAAGGCATAGAGATCCGCCTGTCTATGCTTTCTAAATCGTGGGAGTAAAGGCGCACACTGCCATGGTGGGCAGTTTGCAGCTTTGGATATGTGCCCTATTATTCTTTTGATCCACATGACCCGCCTGACCCCTGCCCTGCCATCAGAGGTATTGTCTGTCTTCTGTGACTGTGTAGACTACACTACTCTTTTGCTTTTCTTCCTACTTCCTACTGTTACTGTAACCCCTGTGTAATGTATTGCCTGTGATTATATAGTGGTTCCTATAAAATTCCCGGAAAGCCACGGTGTTCCCATAAATTATGTTTTGTTTTTAGATTTATTTTTATGTGTGTGAGTGTTTTGTCTGTGTGTATGTCTGTGCACCATTTGTGTGTTTGGTGCCCATAGAAATCAGAAGTATCACATCTCCTGGAACTGGAGTTAGAGCTGTAAGCCTCCATATTGGTGCTGGGAATCGAACCCAGGTCCTCAGTTCATCTCCATGAGCCACTTTTAATCCCTGAGCCATCTCTCTAGCCCTTTTGTTTTTATTTTTGATGTTGTTATTCTGTCTCTAGCACCTTGGGAATACTCTGAACCCCTAGTTCCTGAGCACGAGATCATTGACATCCCTTTGTATTTTCAGCTACACCTCAGGATCACTCCTTCCTGGACCTCATCTGTGACACTACTTTCCTTGCAGGTATTCCCCTCACCTTAGCTCCCTTATCAGTCACCATTTGACTGTCTCAAGTCCACAGAGGCAGCTTTTTGCCCTCGTTAGGTTTTCTGGTTCCGTGTGTGTGAATGTGTGTACCTGCCTGTGTGCACGTGCATGTGTGGGGACAGGTCCACATGCATGTGGAGGCCAGCTGTTGATGCCAGGTGTCTTCTTCGATCCTTCCCCACCTTATATCCCAGGTAGGATCTTTCACTGTAACCCAGACTGGTGATTCACTAGTCTAGTGAGCCAGTTTGCAGTGGGGAATCCCGTCTCTATCTCCCAAGTGCTGGGATTATAGGCGCACCACCAGCCCACATCATGTATGTGGATGCCGGTGGTCTGGATTCTGGTCCTCATGTAGTGTGGCAAACACTTTACCCTCTGAGCCATATCCCTAGCCCCCTCTTTTATCTTTTTTTTTTTTTTTTGGTTGTTGTTGTTGTTCTTTATTTTTGGCTTTTTGAGGCAAAGTCTCTTGTGGTCTAGGCTGGCCTTGAACTCCTATTCTTTTTGTTCCCACCTATGCCTGCATTACAGGCATTCCGTTCAATACTGTACTTGACTGTCTTTATCTCAAGTGAGATCCATCAACTCTGTTCTCGGTTTCTGATTTTAGACTGTAACATATTGCTAGAAAAGAAAAAAGTTAAGAGTTAGTGAAGTGTTAAATTCTGTCAATATCACAGCTTTTGCCAGCTCTTACTTTCTAAATTCTCCCATGGCTATTTCACTAACTTTTTTCCAAACCTCCGTCACTATGCCTTTCATTCTTTCTTCTGTGGCAAAAATCTTCACTTTCTATTTCATTGAAAAATTAAAGCCTGTCATTTCTGTTCCTCTCTGAGTCACAGCCAGGTATTTGTCGTTCTTTCTCCTTCCCACTCTCTCTCCTGCCTTCCATCAAGGTTTCACTGTGTAGCCAGTCCAGTCTGTCTGTCTCAGATCCACGGCAATCCTCGTGCTTCAGCCTTGTGAACACTGTGATTTTTGTTGTTGTTGGGTTTTTTTTTTTTTGTTTTTTTGTTTTTTTTTCCCCCGAGACAAGATTTCTCTGTAGCTTTGCTGCCTGTCCTGGAACTAGCTCTTATAGACCAGGCTGGCCTCGAACTCACAGAGATCTGCCTGCCTCTGCCCCCTCTGCCCCCT